AGCTTGGGGTAGATAGATCTTCACCTCCATGTATTCTTTCTGGCATGCAGGTTCTTTCTGGGTGTCCTGGCTATAGGATCAGAAAAGTCAGGAACAGAATTTTTATTCTTTTTGTTGTTGTTGTTAATCCTCATCCAAGGATATTTTTCCATTGAGTTTTAGAGAGTGTGGAAGGGAGGGGGAGAGAGAGAAACATCGATGTCAGAGAGACACATAAATTGGTTGCCTCCCACACTCCCACATGAGCCCCGGATTGAGCCTGCAACCAAGGTACATGCCCTTGACCGGAATTGAACCTGGGACCCTTCAGTCCATGGACCAATGCTCTATCCACTGACCAAAACCTGCCAGGGCCAGAATTTTTATTCTTTAAAGCTTGCTTCCCCCAACTATGGTTGAGTGTTTACTTACAACCTCTGTTTTTGAAGGGTATTACTAGAAGCCACTTAAGGTTTATAAATGTGGAAAATACAAAAGTATAAAGAATAATTCACCTCTAATTCTACTATGATGAGAAAAATCATGAACAATTATATATTGCTTTATAGACTTTTTCTACTTAAATATCTATAATATATATGCTTTTACATTATTGGGATTATTCTGTACATGCAGGTACTGTTTTCCTCCACTGGATTGAATGCTTATTACAACCTCTATTTTTGAGGGGTATTACTAGAAGCCATATAAGCTTTATGAATGTTGAGGTTTGTTTGGATTTTTTAATAAGGTTTTATTTTCAAATTTGAGTTATTTTAATTATACAATTTTTAGTTATAAATATAATCTCTATACAAAGTTAAAAGAACACAGGATATTATGAAATATGTAAAATAAAAAAATCTTTGTTATCCCTCATTCTTTTTTAAAAATATTTTTATTTATTCATGAGAGAGAGAGAGAGAGAGAAACATTGATTTGTTGTTCCATTTAGTTATGTATCCATTGGTTGCTTTTTGTGTGTGCCCTGATCTGGGATTGAACTCACAACCTTGGTGTATTGGGACAATGCTCTAATCAACAGAGCTACCTGTCCAGGGATTATCCTACCTATCATTCTTCAAACCTTTTCCCAAGGGAAACACTTTTTTAAAAAATTTAAGGAACATTTCTGAAAGCACGTTTTTATTGATTTTAGAGAGAGAGGAAGGGAGAGGGAGAGAGAGATAGAAACTTCAACTTTAAACAATAAAGAATTTTTAAAAAGAAAGAAAAAAAACATCAACATTGATTGACTGCAGAAATAACATAGAGACTAAAAAACAATACAAAAAAATCAATGAAACCAAGAGTTGGTTCTTTGAAAGGATAAACAAAATTGATGAACCATTAGCTAGACTCATCAAGAAACAAAGACAGAGGACCCAAATAAATAAAATCAGAAACAAAACTGGAGAAGTAACCACTGACACCACAGAAATACAAAGGATTGTAAGAAAATACTATGAATAACTATATGCCAACAAACTGGACATAGGGGACAAAATGGACAACTTCCTAGAAAAATATAATCTCCCAAAACTGAATCAGAAGGAATCAGAAAACCTGAATAGGCCAATAACAACTGATGAAATAGGAACAGTAATCAAAAAACTACCACCAAAAAAACCCCATGTCCAGATGGCTTCACAGGGAAGTTTTATCAAACATTCAAAGAACTAACACCTATACTCCTCAAACTATTTCAGAAAATCCAAGAGGAAGGAACACTGCCAAACTCTTTTTAGGAGGCCAGAATTATCCTAATTCGAAAACCAGATAAAGACACTACAAAGAAAGAAAATTACAGGCCAATATCCCCAATGAACATAGATACTAAAACCCTCAACAAAATATTATCAAATCACATCCAGCAATGTATTGAAAAGATCATGCACCATGATCAAGTGGGGTTTATTCCAGGGATGCAAGGCTGGTACAATATTCGCAAATCGATAAATGTGAAACATCACATAAACAAATTGAAAGACAAAAATCACATGATATATCAATAGACGCAGAAAAAGCATTCAACAAAATCCAACACCCATTTTTGATAAAAACTCTTAGCAAAGTGGGAATAAATGGAGCATATCTACATGATAAAGGCCATATATGAAAAGCCTACAGCCAACATCATACTCAATGGGCAAAAACTAAAACCGTTTCCCCTAAGAACAGGAACAAGACAGGGATGCTCACTTTTACCACTGCTGTTTGACATAGTATTAGAAGTACTAGCCATAGCAATCAGACAAAAAGAAGAAATAAAAGGCATCCAAATTAGAAAAGAAGTAAAACTGTCATTATTCATAAATGACATAATATTGTTCATAGAAAACTCTAAAGACTCCATCAAAAACTGCTAGACTTAATAAATGACTTTGGCAATGTAGCAGGATACAAAATTAACACCCATAAATCTATGGCTTTTTTATACACCAATAATGAACTCACAGAAAGAGAAACTAAAAAAGAAATCCCATTTACCATTGCAACAAAAAAACTAAGATACCTACAAATAAACTTAACTAAGGAGGTAAAAGACCTGTACTTGGAAAACTACAGGACACTGAAAAAAGAGATAGAGGAAGACATAAACAAATGAAAGAATATACTGTGTTTATAAAACATTTATAAACCTTAAGTGGCTTCTAGTAATACCCTTCAAAAATAGAGGTTGTAAGTAAACACTCAACCATAGTTGGGGGAAGCAAGCTTTAAAGAATAAAAATTCTGGCCCTGGCAGGTTTTGGTCAGTGGATAGAGCATTGGCCCCAAAATCTACAAATTTGTGGATAGAGCATTGGCCCAAAAAATTCACCTGGAATAATAAAAGATCCCAAATAGCTGCAGCAATCCTGAGAAACAAGAACAAAGTTGGAGGGATCACAATGCCAGATATCAAGTTATATTACAAAGCCACTGTTCTCAAAACTGTGTGGTGCTGGCATAAGAGCAGACATATAGACCAATGGAACAGAACAGAGAACCCAGAAATTGACCCAAGCCATTACCTAGTATGTTCAATTAATATTTGACAAAAGAGGCAAGAGCATACAATGGAATCAAGACAGTCTCTTCAATAAATGGTGTTGGGGAAATTGGACAGATACATGCAAAAAAAATGAAACTAGACCACCAACTTATACCATACACAAAAATAAACTCAAAATGGATTAAGGACTTAAACAAAAAAACAGGAATCCATAAAAATCTTAGAAGAATCCATAGGCAAAAAAAATAGCAGACATATGTAATAGCAATATCTTTTACTGATACACCTCCTAGGATAATGGAAACTAAGGAGAAAATAAATGGAACTACATCAAAATAAAAAGCTCTGCACAGCAAAAGAAACCAACAAGAAAGCCCGCTGCATGGGAGAACATATTTGCCAATGTTATCTTCGATAAATTACAGGGAACTTATACAACTTAACAAAAGGAAGACAAACAATCCAATCAAAAAATGGGCAAAGGACCTAAATAGACATTTTTCAAAAGAGGACATACAGAAGGCCAAGAGACATATGAAAACATGCTCAAAGTCACTAATCATTGAGAGATATAAAACAAAACAACAATGAGGTACCATCTTGCACTTGTCAGAATGGCTATCATCAATAAAACAAAAAGTGCTGGCAAGGATGTGGAGAAAAAAGAACCCTTACACACTTCTGGTGGGAATGCAGACTGGTGCAGCCACTGTGGAAAACAGTATGGAGTTTCCTCAAAAAATAAAAAAAGGAACTGCCATTTGACCCAGTAATCCCACTTCTAGGAATATATCCCAAGGAATCAGAAACACTATCAGAAAGGATATATGCACCCCTACATATGTTCATAGCAGCACAATTTATAATAGCTAAGATTTTACAAACAGTCTAAGTGTCCATCAGCAGATGGGTGGATTAAAAAACAGTGTTACATCTACACAATGGAATACTATGCTGTGGTAAAAAAAGAAGGAACTCCTACCATTTGCAACAGCATGGATGAACCTACAGAGCATTATACTAAGTGAAATAAGCCAGTTGGAGAATGATAAATATCACATGATCTCACTCATTTGTGGCATATAATGAACAACATAAACTGATGAACAAAACTAGAGACATAGATGAATCAAACAGATTGTCCAACCTAGAGGGAAGGTTGGGGAGGGGGTGGTTAGAGATCAACCAAAGGACTTGTATGCATGCATATGAGCATAACCAATGGACACAGACAGTAGGGGAATGGGGGCATGTGCTGGGGGATGGGAGCATCCAGGGAGAGGACAATGGGGTAAAAGGAGATATATGTAATACTTTAAACAATAAAGAATTTAAATTTTAAAAAAAGGTATATGTGTGTGCCTATCTGTATCATATAAACACAATATACATATACATGTACATAATATTATATGCTGTCTACATCTCTTTATATATTTTAAGGGTGAAAATTGGGAATGAATGTTATTTGGGCTCTTAATTTATTCTCTGAGCAAAACTATTAAATAAGCTAGAAAACTCCCGAACTTGGGAACACTATCTGATTCTCTCCAGGCTTAGCCACAGGCAACTATTTCTTCCTTCTACCCCCATTGCTAAGTGACTTTATCAAGTTCTGGGCTCAGAGACTATTTATACAGGTAGGAAAAAGAAAGTCCACCTTCAGGTTGAAGGCTGTGCAGACAATATCTGACCAATATTTAGTGTTGAAATAATTATGGAGTAGAAGGAACATGAAACTATGTGATGAATCTCGGTCCCTTGGTGACCTTCAATTTTTATCTCATTTTGATCAAAAGAATAACAATATGTTCTTACTCAGATAGAGGAGGGCATTCCTAAGTATGACAGGTCCTGCATCAGAGACACCTGGCTAAAAGTCAGAAATCATTACAAAGGGAAAGGTGGAGGACATACGAGGCAAGTATTCATGGATTGATATCTTGGATGGCTCAGAAGGCATGCAGCTCAGTGTACAAGTGGAGGGTGTAGTCTCATTTCCACTTTCAGCCAAAATGATGAGACCAAGAAGAGTCAAAAAGACACACTTTATTAGCTATTCTCTATGTTCAAATCCTCTGTCTCTCTGTCTCCCTTCCCCACTACCACTCATCTCCTGCAGGGCACCACATCCTCATGGAATTCTCTATGTGGTTCTCATGGTGGGAGAAGAATAGGGTTGCTCATGGAGGCTTTTCCAGGACACTCAGCAGAGCGTTGTTCTTCTTTGGGGAAAGGTAGGACAAACAGCTTCTTAATCATAGGCCCATGGAAGAGGAAGGAAACATTGAGCGGTTCTCCCTGGGGATTTGTGGTTAGATCCAGGTGCACAGGGAAGGCCTCAGCAGGATCCATTTCCTGAGATTCTTCATCATCCAGATCAGGAAGGTACTGGACAGATCCGCTTAGCACATCTTTGGAGGGTGAGTGCGTGGATTCGTTTTTCTGGTAAAACAAAAATTTTCTGGTAAACAGCAAATTTTCTCCTTCTAGGGTTGGGAGCCTGAAATAAAAATGCTTTCAATAAGGGAATGTTCTCTAGGGAAATCTCTTCTGAGGCTGGTTTGTGCTATGCCTTTCTGATGGAATGTTTCAAGGGGAGTCAGCTAGAGGGATGGGCCCCTGGTTAAAGGGTTATAAAGCAAAACAGATAAGGGCCAGCAGGAACCAGGACTGGTAGAGGCTTGATAGAAAGCTTGATCCAGAGCACTTAAATGGCATATTCAAAGTCCTTAGTGGGCTGTCTCCCTGCTCCTAGTGTGACAGCAATAGCACCATTACTAATTATTTATGCTCTGCCAGGCCCAATACAGCACCCTTTATCCAGGTCTTCTCACTAATTTCTCACAAGAAACTGAATGAGGTAAGCATTGCAAGCCCATTCATAGATGAGGCAACCATGACTCAGAGAGGTAAGAATTTTCCCATGGTCACCTAGCTTATAGGTAGCAGAGCAGGACTGGAACCCAGGTGGCCTCTCTCAACCACCCTTTCAACTATATCAGGCTGTCTCATATTAAGTGCTCAATAAATACTTCTGGAATGGGACCAACTATTTCCATGGAAACAACTTCTGCCGTCATTTCAGGGTAAGGGTCTTTGGGACACTGAATTTAAGGTCTCAGGGCCTGTGCCATCCAAGTTCAGAGGTCCCTATTTATGAAAGTCTTAATTATTCTGCCGGAACTCATTGGGACTAAAACAAAGAGTGACAGGTCTTTAACTAGCTAGCCTATGGGTGTGACCTCAGGGCAGCCTAAATAAAATGGTGATCATGGATCTTAGGAAAATAAAATGAGAGGATGAGGTAGGGAGAGTTAAAACATAGATATTATGCTTTTTTTCTTCACAGAAAGATAAACAATTAGAATGAAAAAATACCTGTGATTGAAAGAAGTCACAATTTACATTGGCAATCTTCTTATCGTCAACGCTTGGTCTCAGAGAACCTCTGCAAATACCAACAGGCTAAAAAAAAAAAAAAAAAAAAAATGAGAGAGAAGATACAAAATTGTTTGAGTTTTACAATTATCAATGATCATAAATGGAAATCAACTTGCTTTCTGCCAGTGTGCACAAACAGCCAAACAACATTTATATGCTACTACCATGCAATAGGTAGGCTCTGAGCCAATTATCTCTAGACTAGTCACATGGTGCATGGATTCATGCACACTGAAAGAAAATTAATTAGAAGGTGGCTGGCAGGGTGGGACTGAACAAGATGGGCCAGACATGACCTGGAGCCAACTTCCTGTGGTTCTTCCCTGGCCAGCTGCAGCTGGGTGGCATCATGGCTTGAAAGTCTGCGGAGTGAGTGGCGTCCCTCTGCCAGGTGGGTTCCCTTGGCCTGGCCTGCAGGGATTGGACCAAAACTGGCTCTCTAACTTCCCCTGAGGGGTTCTAGAGTGCAAGAGGGCACTTGCAAAGTTGCTGTTGTACAGGTTTTGGAACGCAAAAGCAAGTGTGCAGTAAACCAGATTTGGGGCCAACAGTTGCCCAGCAACAACATAACCCACAGCCAAAGGTGGAATCACGCAGCCCCACGAGGAATTGGGCTCCCTCCCCTTTGGTTTCAGGGTGCATCACCCAAGAACCGCTGCTGCCAAGTCACTGCAGCTTGGCAGCTCCTGCATACAGTGTCTGCCCCCTGGTGGTCAGTGAGCATCATAATTACCAGTTGGACGGAGTGAAGAACACTTAGCATATTAGCCTTTTACCTATATATAGATTATCCCTCCAGGTAACCACCTAAACAAGTCTAAATTGCCTCCAATGATGGAAAATTTAAAACTTCTTGAGGAGGAGGAGGAGAAAGATGGCTGCCAACGTGAAGGCAGCCTGCAAGATAGTGTGTGAGTGAGAGAATGAAAGGAGAGTGTGTGGACGTATGTTGAGTGTATATTTGTGGGTGAGGAACAGCTATACTCCAAGGGACAGTTGGGGACCGCCGGACCCGGCTCCTCTGACTGACAGCCTCCCCTGATGCTGAAATGTCCCAGAGCGACCTGCTCTGCTGCGAAGACCACGCCATCTTGAAGGGGAGAGTTGCTGTTATGGGAAGCCTATACATCCCAGGACTTTACAACCACAACACCCAGGGACCAGCTGCAAACTCAGGAACACCGGATCTCAACCAGCAAGAATACGTGGACTCGGATGAGCTCTGCACCTTCTCATGGAAAGGTCAGATTTCGCCTAGGGAAATGTGAGGTCTGCAATCCAGGCTGGAGAGAGAAACACGCCCAAGGGGATCTAGAGGTTTGGGGGAAATCTGCGCCCCACAAAATCCGTGGCCATTGGGGCTAACATGATCCACGAATGTGGAAGGAGGACCTCAGGGCTGCTGGCAGAAGGGAGCTCTAAAAATAAACCCATAGCTGAACTGGGTGCAAAAATGCAGCCTGAAATTTTACCAGTGTTCTGGCTGCTTAGTGCCAGGGGAAAAAAAGACGTGCACAGAGACGTTCACAGAGTTGTGCGCAATGCTAGAGGGTAAAAGTCACAAGTTCATGCACTTACTCTGGCTCTTTTTTTCTCTTTAAATCCTTGCTTTTGATTACTAAGCCCAGTACGTAGGATCACCCAATTGGGGACACTCTAAGAGACTGCAGGGGAAAGTTGTTTCTGTGGAACCTGGGGATCAGAGAGGGGAGTAACGATCAGAGAACCAGATCTGGGGCAGTCCATTCTCCCAAACCAGTATTAAGTGCAACAGGGAAAACAAAATCTAAATACTGGCTAGAGAGGACTTATAGCCCCAGAGGTCAATCCAGAAACACTGCCAGCCAGGGGTTGAATCACAAATTGACTATTGTGTAAACACAAATAAAGGAGTCTAAGAAACAAAGAAGTACTGCCTGCTTGAAAATCAGGAATGTGGCTTACAACACAGAGGAGCAGTGGAACACAGGGGGAACTTCAATACTGTCCTGGCTACCTGACAGGAAACTGGTGTGCTAAACAGGACAGTAGAGGAAGTGAAAGACCTTCACTACTGCACATTTTAATTTTTTCATCTTTTACTTAGGAGTCTAATTTTTTTCTTTTTCTCCTCACTTGATTTTACCCTTTTAATTATTATACTTTTATTTTTAATCAGTATTATTACTACTACTATTTTACCTTTTTTTAAAAGTGTCATTTAATTTTCTCTTTATTTTATTTCATTTTATTTTGGCATTGGTGTTGTGAATTCTATTTTCATTTTTCCTTTAACATCATTTTGCTCTATCTTTATGCCAACACTCTCTTCCTCAATTTTCCCTTTTTGTTCTCCTGTTTCTCTTACCCTATTCCTACTTTAGATTATTCCTATTCCTTCTCTTTACCCTGTTAATTCACCCTACTTCTATATCTAATTTTTGATCCCCTGCTCTAAGTCCATACATACCTCTCTCTTTTCTTTCTTCACTAACCAATTTTTTTCTCTCTTCCTCTTTTTTGTGTGTTTTTCATTGTTGTTGTTATTGTTTTTTTGTCTTTTTTGGTTCTAGGATTTTTGTTTTTTGTTTTGTTTTGCCTTGCTTTCTCTCTGTCCTATTGTTGTTGTTTGCTTGATTGTTGATTAGATTGGTTTTTTTGGTGCTTGTTTGTGAGATTGTTTCTCTTTTTTGTGTTTTTTGTTTTTGTTTGTATTTTGCTTCCATTTTTCCTTTCCTCGCTTGTTATTAGTTGTTGTTTGTAGTTTGCATTCATCTCTGGGTGTTTGCTGTTTGCATTTTTTGGGATTAGTGGTTGTTCTATTGGAGTTTTTTCCCCCACAGAAATAGTTTTTTTCCCTCCTACTTTATTATTCTCATTCTTTTTCTCTCTTACTTTTTTTCCTTTTCTAAAAATCATTTGTGCAGTCCTTTTTTTTCTTATCCCCTAATTCTCTTTACTCTGGTGGTCACCTTTATTTGGGGTTATTACTATCATGAATACATTTGTGTTCAGTGCCTTGTGCATTATGCCCTGCTGTGTTGTATTTTGTGCCTTTCAATCAATGCTGGAGAGAGAGATCTATATAACCAGATACCCAGAGAAGAGAGATCATGGGGAGACAAAGAAACAGCTCACATATGAAAGAAAAGGAGACATCACCAGAAAAAGAGGTAATTAAATGGAGGCAAGCAATATGTCAGAGAAAGAATTCAGAGAAATGTTCATAAGGTCGCTGAAAAGAATGGAAGACAAATTCAACAGTATATGTAAGAACCAAGAGGAAATGAAGAACCAAGAAGAAATGAAAAATGACATCGCTGCTATAAAGAACTCAATAGAAAGCATCAACAGTAGACTAGAGGAAGCACAGGACGAAATCAGTGAGGTAGAAGACAAGGTAGAAAAAAATACCCAAACAGAGCAGAATCTAGAAAACAAAACTTAAAAAACAGGAGGAGAGCCCAAGGGAACTTTGGGACAACACTAAACAAAACAACATCGCATAAAAGGGGTGCCAGAAGGAGAGAAAACTGAGCAAGGAATAGAAAACCTGTTTGAAGAAATAATGACAGAAAACTTCCCTGATATAAGGAAGAAAAAACTCATACAAATCCAAGAAGATCACAGAGTCTCAAACAAAAGATTAAAAAAACCAGGAGCTGGTTCTTTGAAAAGATAAACAAGATTGATGAACTTCTAGCCAGGCTCACCAAGAAGCAAAGAGAGAGGACCCAAATAAACAAAATCAGAAATGAAAGAGGTGAAATAACAACCGATCCCACAGAAATGCAAACAATTATAAAAAAATACTATGAACAACTCTATTTCAACAAAAAGGACAACCTAGATGAAATGGACATATTCTTAGAAAAATAGAAGCTCCCAAAACTCAACCAAGAAGAATCAAAAAACCTGAATAGGCCGATAACTACTGAAGAAATTGAAACAGTGATCAAAAATCTTCCAGCAAACAAAAGCCCTGTCTGGACAGCTTTACAGGGGAGTTCTAAAAAGCATTAAAAGAAGAACTAAAACCTATCCTCCTTAGACTATTCCAAAACATTTAAGAGGAAGGTACACTTCCAAGTTCTTTCTATGAAGCCAGCATTACCCTAATCTCAAAACCAGATAAAGACACCACAAAAAAAAGAGAACTACAGGCCAATATCCTTGATGAACATAGATGCTAAAATCCTCAACAAAATTCTAGCAAATTGGATTCAGCAATACATTAGAAAGATCATACACCATGACCAAGTGGGATTTATTCCAGGGATGCAAGGATGGTACAATATCTGCAAATCAATAAACGTGATACATCACATAAACAAATTGAAAGAAAAAAAAACGCATAGTCATATCAATTGATGCAGAAAAAGCATTTGACAAAATCTAACACCCTTTCTTGATAAAAACTCTTAACAAAGTGAAATAGAGGGATCACACCTCAACATAATAAAAGCCCTATATGACAAACCTACAGCCAATATCATACTCAATGGGTAAATAACTAATCCCATTTCCCCTAAGTACAGGAACAGGACAAAGATGCCCATTTTCACCACTCTTGTTCAACATAGTACTAGAAGTACTAGCCATAGCGATCAGACAAGAAGAAATAAAAGGCATTCAAATTGGAAAAGAAGAAGTAAAACTGTCCATATTTGCAGATGACATGATACTATACATAGAAAACCCCAAACTCCATCAAAAAACTATTAGACCTAATAAATGAATTTGCAATGTAGCGGGATAAAAAATTAACACCCAGAAATCTATGGCCTTTTTATACAGCAATAATGAACTCACAGAAAGAGAAACTAAAAAAACAATCCCACTTACCATTGCACAAAAAACAATTAAGATACCTAGGAATAAACTTAACCAAGGACATAAAAGACCTGTACTCAAAAAAACTACAGGACATTGAAAAAAGAGATAGAGGAAGACATAAACAAATGGAAAAGCATACCATGTTCATGGGTTGGTAGAATCAACATCATTAAAATGTCCATATTACCTAAGGCAATCTACAGATTCAATGCAAGCAATACCTATTAAAATACCAGTGGCATATTTCTAAGATCTAGAACAAACTCTCCAAAAATTCATCTGGAATAAAAAAAGACCCCAAATAGCCACAGCTGCCCTGAGAAAGAAGAACAAAGTTGGAAGGATCACAATACCAGACATAAAACTATATTACAAAGCCATAGTTCTCAAAACTGCCTGATACTGACACAAGAACAGACATATAGACCAATGGAACAGAATAGAGGATCTAAAAATTGACCCAAGCCATTATACTCAATTAATATTTGACAAAGGAGGCAAGAACATACAATGGAGTCAAAAAAAGCCTCTATAATAAATGGTGCTGGGAAATTTGGTCAGATACATGCAAAAAAAATGAAACTAGATCACCATCTTACACCATACACAAAAACAAACTCAAAATGGCTAAAGGACTTGAATGGAAGACAGGAAACCATAAAAATCCTACAAGACTCCATAGGCAGAAAAATTGCAGGTATATGTCATAGCAATATCTTTACAGACACAGATCCTAGAGCAAGAGAGACTAAGGAGAAAATAAGAAATGAGACTACATCAAAATAAAAAGCTGCTGCACAGCAAAAGAAACAATCAACGAAACAACAAGAAAGCCCACTGCATGGGAGAACATATTTGCCAATGTTATCTCTTTCATTGTTATTGTTATCATATTAATTGTTAACTGATAACTATCCTGTACCCACAAAAGTAAAAAAAGTATAATTGTTGACATTAACTATATTGTACACAACTAAGCAAAAGAAATATGAATCTATCATTTTACTTTTACTTTTTATTCAGTCTCAGAGGTTCCCTCCCCCACAGCTTGCTTTCTCCCACCTCCCTAATCTATCACCAATGGATTTTATGTAATCCACTTACATCTCCTCCTTTGATTGTAATGTATAAAACAAAGTGAAAAACTGCCATTCTCCTGAGCATTATCCAAAACCTTTGAGACTCTGCTTCTCAGGAATTGTGGACAGTTTGACTTAAATAAACTCACAAAAATTCTTTACAGGTTTGAATGCTTTCACGTTAACACTATTCTCAGGAAAAAAAAAAACCACTCTCGGCTCCTTCAACTTTTCTTTATTTAAAAAATAAAATAATTTTGTTTTCTTATTACACATGTAATAGTTATTTAGAATATGGATAAACAGAACGAAAATAAAAAGACCTATAATTGCACAGAAAGATATGATTTCTTTTCTTCTAATCTTTTTTCCTGTGCATATATATCGTTTTTCTTCTAGAAAATAGGATTATAATTTATATATTATTTATAACCCCCTTTTGTCAGTTAATAATATATTGTGGAAATCCTTTTATGGCATTGAATAGTCTTCTATGATCTTTTTAAAAATACGTTTTTATTGATTTTAGAGAGAGAGGAAGGGAGAGGAAGAGATAGAAACATAGATGAAAGAGAAACTTCATCATCATTTGGCTACCTCCTACACGCCCCCTGCTGGGGTTTGAGCCTGCAATTGGGCATGTGCCCTGATCAGAAATCAAACCCACCATCTTCTGGTTCATGGATTGACACTCAACCACTGAGCCACACAGGCAAGGCTTCTATGATCTTTATAATGATTACCTAGTATTTCTCTGTTATTTAACAAGCTATCTTTTGTTAGAAACTAAATTGTATCTCATTTGTTTTGTTTAAACATTGAAGCTATATCTTTTTTTTTATATACCTAGTTAACTTCTTAAGATAAGTTACTGGAAGAGAAATTTTAGAGTCACAGAGGATAGACATTTTCAAGTGTAAATAGAATATTATAATAAAATGTTGCCTCAATTTCTAAAGAATTTTAAGAATACAGTATTCACATTGAATTTACTAAAATGTGTCTAAAGAGAGTGCCTGAATATTATTCTATCACCCATCTTCCAGACTATATGAAGAGAAGATTAGAAATTCTTCAGAGCAGGAAAAGTCCATTAATGTGGAAAGTTCTTGGAGAATGGTGCTTCAGCCCTTCCCTTCTCCTCTTCATCACCAAATCACATAGGGAAAGGGCTCTGAGTGAACCTGCTGGAGAGACTGCAGGTACTGGTACCAAGTAGAGCCAGGCCCCTCCCATTCAGCCTGGGATTTGCTGAGCTATCATATTTCCTAGGCCTATTTGGAAACCCAAATACCCATCAACTGATGAATTAATAATATGTGGTATATCCCTACAATTAAATATTATTTGATAATTAAAAGAAATGAAGCACTGATACATTCTACAAAATGGGTAAACCTTAAAAATGTTATGTTATTAATGTTTATTGCATTTAACATTATTATATTTAAGATTGTTTTTCTTGAAATATTAACATTTATTGCATGTAAAACAGTAATAAAAATAAAATTAAATTAAACTTAAATTAAAAAAATAAAAATTGTTATGTTAAGTGAAAGAAGACAGATTCAAAAGGCCATACAGTATGTTTCCAATATATGAAATGTTCAGATAAAGGTAAAGTCACAGAGATAGAAATAGATTATTAGTGGCTTCCATTAGCGTGGGTAAAGGACTAAGGAGACTGATTGCTAATGGGTATGGAGTTTCTTTGGAAACTGATGAAAATATTCTAAAATTAGATACTGATGGTGCTGGCACAACTCTGAGAATACACTAAAATGTCACTAAACTGTATAGGTTAAAAGGGTGAATTTAATGGTGTCTGAATTATGTCTTAACAAAGCTGTTATCCTATCTAATAAAAGACAAAATGGGTAATTGACCATACCTTCGCTATGCTTCCCATTCGCTGATCAGGGTGATATGCAAATTAACCGCCAACAAAGATGGGGGCCGGCAGCCACGCAGCTGAAGCGAGCAGGAGGCTTGCTTGCTCCAGTGATGGAGGAAGTCAAGGTTCCCCGCCAGCTGCGGCCCAGCTTGGAGCTCCGAAAGCAACAAAGTTTCAATTATAGAAGCTAAACAAACCCCAGATACCTGCTTTCAGCAGGCTGTGGCCACAGCGCTGGAGCAAGCATTAGCTCAGTGACGGCAACAAAGTTTCAATTATAAACGTAAATAAATCCCAGAATAAAAAAAAAAGAAAACGGCCCTCAGCCCCTCACCCAGACTGGCCAGACACCCCAGTGGGGACCCCCACCCTAAAGGGGGGGTGGCCAGCCTGACAACAGCCATCAGTCCCTCACCCAGGCCGGCCAGACACCCAAGTGGGACCCCCACCCTGATCCGGGACACCCTTCAGGGCAAACCAGCCGGCCCCCACCTGTGCACCAGGCCTCTATCCTATATAGTAAAAGGGTAATATGCAAACTGACCCTAACAGCAGAAAGACTGGGAATGACTGGTCACTATGGCACACACTGACCACCAGGGGGCAGACGCTCAATGCAAGAGCTGCTCTCTGGTGGTCAGTGCGCTCCCACATGGGGGAGCTCTGCTCAGCCAAGCCAGGCTGATGGCTGCCAGTACAGCAGTGGTGGTGGGAGCCTCTCCTGCCTCCTCAGCAGCACTAAGGATGTCTGACTGCAGCTTAGGTTTGCTCCCCGCTGGCAAGTGGACATCCCTGAGGGCTGCCAGGATGCCAGAGGGATGTCTGATTGCCAGCTTAGGCCCAATCCCCTAGGGAGCAGGCCAAAGCCAGCAGGTGGTCATCCCCCAAGGGGTCCCAGACTGCAAGAGGGCACAGGCCGGGCTGAAGGATGCCCCCCCGCCCCGAGTGCAAAGATTTTTATGCACTGGGCCTCTAGTTATAAATTAATAAATAAATAAATGGAGAAAAGACTTTGAGGCATTTTGTCCAATTGTGTTGCAACACATTGTGCCAACTGGCATTCCCACCAGGTATGTCAGATGGCTTCAAGTCACCCTCATCATCTTAGATGCATTCTTTCAAAGACATCCTGTTTGACTTTTTCCTTCTTAAAGAGTGGCCTAAGGAATAAAACTGTATTCTAAATGTAACTGGATTTGTTCAGATATAAGTAGGACCACAATCAACCACTGAGAAGGTTTCTCTATATTTTAAAGCCTCTATGATCTTTTTCTGCAAAGGCATAACATTGCTGATGAAGATTGTATTTGCAATAAAATATTATTGCATCTGAGCCACCACAACCTCTAATTACTCAGTTACTCCTTGAGAAGAAGAAAAGTGTCTTTGACAGCTCATACATAATTTATGCTCAATCATACTTATAGATAATCTGGGAACACAAATCTTAAATTGGGAAAACATTCAGGAATACTCACCCCAGAGTCAGTGGGCTGATATCCAGAACTGCTGGCTTCCGTTTTGATACATGGTGACTCTTTGATTAAATATTCCACAAAGTAGAAGGGGCCAAACACCCACTGGTATGAGACAAGAGTTGAGAAATAAAAATCAAACCTCTCTATGGAGAGAAACAGCTGAGGTTTGGCGGCATTATATTTATAAAAATCGTACATTCCCTGAGTCATTGTCAACACAGGTCTCCTGTTGTCCCTGTAATTGCCACCATGATCAAAGCCCCTATTATGATTTTGTTATTTAGAAAACATCATAATCAGCATTCCTTTCTTCTCTTTTAGGGATTTGAATGGGTTCTAAAAACCTTCCTTTGGGTAAGCTTAATTTTCTTCAAGCAGTTTTGTTTTTCAATTAGTATTTCTTTATATGATAGATATCAACATAATTCAAATGCAGATGAGCCTCCATTTCTCCTAATCCACAAAACTCAACATCCACTCCAGGCCTTAACATGGAGCAGAAGCTGACCTGCTAAATGAGATCCATGGTCAATCAGATATGAGAATGTAGCAGTAAATAGTGAACCTGGGTAGAATAAACCAAGGAGACTCTGAGTCCATTTCCATTCATACCTTAAAGGCATTGAGGTAAAATCAAATCCCACAACTCTTGTGGAAATTTCATGGAATAACTTAGAAACTGAAACATAATTGATTGAATGTGCTTCAGGTCTACCAAAGCAGGGAGTAAAGATTGGATTATGACCAAAGAAGTGCCTTAACATTCTCCTCTCAGTTTAGAAATCGATAGCAACAGTCATGAGACATTGTTGGTGTAACTGGGCATTTCCACCTCACCTGGCTAGAAGCCCGGGTGACTTTGACAAGAGAATATTGCCCTGATTTGCTGTTCTCATTGAATTTTGCAAGCGTCTCAGTGGCAGTTTCCAGAACTTTGGGATCTGACAAGTTAGCGGGGGATGGGCAGTCGGGACACATTCTCTGAATCTTTCTTCGAGAAACTGTTGATGCCAAAGAGAGTAGTTTAAAAATAAAGTTCCTTAATGGTTTTTAATCCTATAAATCATATGACCACAGCAGAAGCAGAGATTAAATAAAAAAAGATATTCAGTTTTGGCAAGGAAAAAGAATTATCTGGAATGAAAATTAGTTATCAGCAGTGAGTTTTCTGCAATGAGCATGCATTCCTTTAATAATGTATTAAAAAATCTAAGCAAAATTTTTTTTTCACCTAACACAAATGTATTTATGCTCGGAATTTTGTTCAAAACACATATGTGTTTATATTGACACAAAAATCTTCCCCCCTATTAGTAGTCCAATACTTTCAATCATTATTGCCTCTGTAAACCAGTCAAGTATCTTGAAAGGTTGGGATCTTATTATTGGTATGTCTTATTCATTTCTTAGTCTCCAACACCTAAGATAATGTAAGTGCTTTGCAAATGCTTACTGAGTGACTGAATGAGTGACATATTAAAGGTGCAAGCACTCTCTCTCTCTGATTCAAAAATGCAAGTCAACCAGAAATTGGCCAACTTATTGTATGATTGGCTAGAATAATCATTCTAATGGTACAGCCAAAATTTCTGACTGGGGGTTACAAAACTAGTGTGAAAGTCAGGGTAGCAACTTCTCTGCAAGTTATTACAGAGCAAAACAGTTGATCAATCGTGCATTAATATGAGTGTATTTGGCTATTCTTTGGGGGAGTTACATCCACAGTTTGTCACTTGTGGCACCAACCCTATGTGTCACTTTCTGACCTCCCATACCTCTGGTACCTTTGACTTTTGAGTCCTGATCTGCTTTACTAGTTGTTGTTTTCTAATTTAAGTAAGACTCATCTTCTCAACCAGGAAGCTTCAACTGTGGCTAATACAACATTTGCTTTGTTGCTTTGTCCCTCAAAGGAACCAGCAGCAGTGTTTTGACCTGGAGCTTGTTAGAAATGCAGACTCTCAGGCCCCACCACAGACCTGTGGAATGAGAGTCTGTACTTGAACAAGATCCCCCAGGGGAGTCACATGCACATAATAGTTTGACAAGTAGCCATATCTAATTTCCCTATGCCTTGGATGCTTGCTTTCCAAAGAGAAGGATCCAGAATGAATACATATGCATATTTGAAATGTCATTAGATTCATCCTCATTCTTAGTTCATTTGCTCAACAATATTATGGACTCCTTACACTTGTTAGGGACTTGGGGGAGGCTGTAGCAGGAAGAAAGAAGGCATAAAATATTCTGCATGAAATAAGATAGAAGACTTGAAATCAAGGCAGTGCATGGTCTGTGCTCCATGAGTGGTTAGGTTAAAGTTTCATAGGCATGAGAGCAGGAGAGTTTGTTCCTTTCCTGAATAGAGAACATTATAGAGAACATTGGCAGTGGACCTTAAAGAATAAATATGAGTTACAAGGGTGTGGGTACCAGGGGAGGGCATCCTCAGCAGAGGGAAAGGTACAAGCAAGATGCAGAGATTGGAAAGTGCAATGTGTATTCAGAAAAGAGTGGGATTTTCAGTTGAATGAAGTACAAAGGTGATATAGTCAGGGAGGTAATGGCAGAGATAGCTAGAAAGGGAGCCTGGGGACCAGTGTAGAGATGATCCCATTTATGTCAGACTAAAAATTTAAGATTTAATTCAATATTCATGAATAAAACTATTGCAGGTAATTTAGGAAGACTAATTATGGGAAGAAGAGCAGTGCAAGTTAAATTTCACAGGGGAGGCAAGTATCAGATACATTAAGAACCTGGCCTTTGTATGAGTAGGAAATAAGAACAGGAGCATAGCCCTGCTTAATTCACTTTTTTCATCTTTCATTGAAATAAACAAAATAAGAGCACTCTCTTACCTGGGCGAAGAGTACAGTTATAAGCAGGTAAATAAAGAATTCTTAGTGGCCTGTTCACATAATATAATGCTTTGCATTTGCCATACACCTGGAACCAACAAACATATTTTATGACATCATGGTACAAACTCTGACTTTTCAAAATACCCCCCAAAATGAAATTGGACTTTTTATTTTTAAATATATTTTTATTTCTTTCAGAGAGGAAGGGAGAGGGAGAGAGAGATAGAAATATTGATTAACTGCCTCCTGCACGCCCCCTACTGGAGATCAAGCCTGCAACCCTTGGCATGTGCCCTGACGAGGAGTTAAACCATGACCTCCTGGTTCATAAGTCAATGCTCAAGCAGCATTGAGCCATACCAGCCAGGCTGCACATTTTATATTTAAATAATAAAAATTTAAGGTCAATTTTGGTGGCTTTGAGAGTGAGAAACTGCCAGGGGGTAGTTTCAAACAATTTAAACTTCTCCTGGGACACAGCTATACTACATTTCCCAGCTTCCCTCCCAATTAGGTGTGACTGTGTATAACTGAGTTCTAACCACAAAAAGGTGAGCATAAGTGGCTGTAATCACTTCCAAGATGCCTCATGAAGATCTCCTATGTGCCATCTGTCCACCATGCCTTTTCTATTTCTATAGCTTGATGTAGATGAGCATGGTGACCACAGAAGCCATTAGTTGAAGGTGGCAGAGTCTAGAGCCACAATGTGGAAGGAATCTGGGTCTCCAAATCATTCCTGGAGGAAAGCCTCCTCTTGAATAAGAATTTCTGTTTGAATTCATATGAATAAGAAATAAACTTCTATCATGTTGGAATCAGTATATACTTTTTTGGCATGTGTTTTAGCAGCTAGTGTCATCTTAATAACTATAATTTGCAACAAGGTAAATGAGACTCCCAGAAACACCTCTTTAAAATCAGATAGATGCAATTTCACAAATTTGGTTACATGATTAGAAAAGATATATTGATCAAATAGTTTACTTCTAAACACAATCATGTACTCAAAAGTGTCATATCAATAAATGGAAATAACTCAGGATAATTGAGAACAAATAAAAATTATTATTTTCAAGCCTCTTCAATGGCCATCTTTAAAAGGATCAATTCTCAGGTCCTTTAGGTCCTGATTCCAGAAAATTCTTCCACAGCACCTCTGAGAGCTTCAACTGTAACCCTTTCCATTCCCCAGCCTCAAACTTCATATTAGTATTTATTAAAACAAAAAAAGCTAAGAACAAACAAACAAAAAACCCCAAACAAAAAAAGCTCTCCCTTTACCTCTTCCACAGTCTTCCTTAAACACACATCCAGAGCACTACAGCTCAGACCTTCTTCTCACAATTTAAACACAGGCCTCGAGCCTACAGAAGGGTCTTAGAAGTAGGAAACAATTTGGGGATCACAACCCCAATGGGACTCTCATAAATTCCCCCAAATTAAACTCTGTTTTGTCTAATAGAATTGGAATAACCACAGAGTCACCATTGTCAAGAGATTATAAAGAAGGATATTTAAAAGATGGCCAGGGCCCCCCGGCCCACAAGGCTCAGTGGTTGAGCATTGTTGACCTATGAACCAGGAGGTCCCGGTTCAATTCCCAGACAGGGCACATGCCCAGGATTTTGGCTCTATCCCCAGTGTGGAATATGCAGGAGGAGCCCAGTGTCAGATGTGCAGGAGGCAGCCAAACAATGATTCTCTCTAATCACTGATGTTCCTATTTCTTTCTCCCTCTCCCTTCCTCTCTGAAATCAATAAAAATACACTGAGTGGCCAAATTATTATGACCACCCCACAGTACAATGAAGTGAATTAGCTATGCAAATAATAATAAAACCTTGAGAGTATTTGCTTAGAAAGTCTTTAATATTCAGTAATTTTTGGAAGTGTCAATGAAGTACTGATGGGGTGGTGATAATAATCTGGCTGGTCATAATAATCTGGCCACTCAGTGTATATTTTAAAAAAATAAAATATGGCCAGAGACATAGAAACATAGAACAAACTGATGAATCTCAGAGGGAAGGCAGGGCTAGGTAGGTGGTGGGAAGAGATTAACCAAAGAACTTATATGCATATATGCATAACCCATGGACACAGACAATAGTGTGGTAAAGGCCTTGGGCAGGGGGCAGGGGGCAGGGGCAGACTAGAGGGGGTAAATGGGGCGGGGGGGGGTGGATGAGACATCTGTAATACTTTCAACAATAAAAATAAATTTTAAAAATAAAAGATGGCACACAATGAGCAATCTTCACCCTGTAAACAGAGGACACCCTGTTTCTCCCCTAAAGTTCCTGGGATACAAACACTTACCTGTTCATGCAGGTGCCTCCACTCACAGTCCCTCCACGGCTTCTTGCTGAGCACATGGCAGGTAGTATGCAGTACGTCCAGTGTGAAATAGAACAGAGATCCCAGACCATCCTGTGAGAAGGGGTGAAAAAATGTACCACAGCCCACATGAAGCAGAAACCCCTAAAGACAGGTCAAAAATGTTTCTGATTTATGGCGGGACCAGTGACTATCATTTTTTTGATGATGTCTTATAGACTATGGGACACTGGACAAGTGTCAGAGTAAGATACTATTAGCACTTGTTCCTTTAACAGTAAAAGCATGTAAGTACAACCCAGCAGAGGGGAGCAGAGACTTCTCAGCAGGTTTCCAATTTGGAAAGCACCTGCCAACATGTGTCCCTGGATGTCTACCCCCTGGTTGGTCTATGCAGCTTGTGAAAACACCTGCCCGAGGTAGGGGATTGTCACTTGCCTGTCTGTGTTCTTGGACAGCGCTCACTCGGTTGAGGCTCAGCACATAGCCTTCCTTTAGGTCGTTATTGATGTCCTGCAGGACAGATGCCGCCATAGCCAGCATATCTGTATCATTGCAGCCACGAAGGTGGAAAGGCAAGTGGCTGGGGATCTTCAAGGGCATAGATGTAGTGGTGCAGCTCACGGCCAAGGTGCAGAGCACCAGGAGTCGGAATAGACCCATTCTGTGGGGAACAAGACCAGGATGGTTCGGTATGTGGAGCTGCAAGGATGGGATACTTATAGGACTCTGTAAGGCCAATTTGAGTTGTTTTGTAATCACAATCTGAACCTTGGACCAGAATTTAAAACACAGTGTCCCATTTTATCTCCTTGAACTCTAAATGTGGATTTCCATGAGTCGACCCTTTGGATGGGATTTGCCAATGTCTTAATCTTAGACAGCTGAGCAAACTCATGTTCATGCGTACACGTAAGCAAAATTACGTAACCTAACCGTTTCCCTAGAAATCCTAATAAACACTCAGGTCAAGGCTCCTAAGAGGTCATGATTGGATTCTGGTTTGCCTCCTTGGTTCCAAATGAATCAGAATATACAAACTGTCCTATTCTCCCATTTCTCCTAGCACCTTCCCTCCAGCTGATGTCCTTGGCCACACCAATAATTACCCCAGGCTTGGAGCCTGGGGTCACTGTCCTTGATACCAATTGTATTAGTTGAATTCACACTTACTGCCTGGCCTTCCATGTTCACCATTCTTTTTAGATCAGGAAAAAAGGCTCTAACCCCACATCACCTATATGAAAGACCAATGAGATTCCTAAACCCCTTTGAGGATCTGGCTAGAAAGTGGTCTATGTAGATATTTTAAAACAAAGACTTCATTTAAGTAAAAAGAAAATAAAAAAGGGAGAGGAATGGTATATCAATAGTTCCTGCATCATATGCCAAACTTTTTCTTCCTTTTATGGAGCTGTGTGGAAGCAAACTCATAAGGAAACTGAAACCTAATAGTATTGTTAAGAGATAGACAATGATTGACAGATAGGCTGAAATGTAAATTCCTCAAGGTTGGGACTCTTGCTTTTCTCTTTCAGCTTCTGCTTGGGGTTCAGGAAGTTTCTACTGATTGGAACTGTACAAAGCACAAATATCTTTTAAAACCCTATTAAAAAAAAACCCACAGGGAGCTACTGAGAACTCTGGGATCTAATCCTGAAGCTGGGCTCCCCAGCAGAGAACACCAGTGGAGGAGGGTACCCACATAACATCTATCTGTGAAAAGCAGTGGGAGTGGCAGCTGAAAGTTTGGGCACCCTCTTAAAGGGTCAATGCACAAAAATTCCCGGTGGAGCCACCCACCTGGTGCTCTGACAGAGGGAGGGTGAAGCGGACTGGAGCTGTGAGAGCAGAACCCAGGACTGGGGACTCAGGGGATAGAGCTCAGAAGGCAGACAGCCCAAGTTTCCTGGGCTGAGTCATTCCCTCACACAGCAGAGGACATCTTTCCCACATAGACATATGCCTTGCCTGGGTGGAAGACAGTCAACTCACCCTATTGGAAAACACCTTGCCCTGAGGACACTTAAGAGATTAAAAGTAACAATTAGCCTCCAGGTAGAAGCAACTGCCCCGCCCTGTTAAAAAAAAAACTCTTGCCACACCTGAGCACAATTGCCCTGGGGCAATTCACTTCAGAATCTTATTAGTCTGTAGACCAGTGGTTCTCAACCTTGGCTGCACATTAGAATCACCTGGGAATCTTTTATTTATTATGGGGTGGGGCCACAACATTAGTAACCAAAAAACAGAATTTCCGGAGGATGAGGCCCAGAAATCAGGATTTTAAAAAGATTCCCAGGTGATTCTAATGTGCAGCCAGGGTTGAGAACCACTGCTCTAGACAGAGGCAGTCTCTGGAGGCTTTGTGTCTTTGCCTGATCCAATTTGTCAGAAACAACCTTTAACACTGTCCTACACTAGAGATTGAGAGGTGTAGAGGATCTACCTAATACACAGTCACAAACCCAAACAGACAACCAAAATGAGGAAACAAAGAAACAACCCAAAATGAAAGAACTAGCAAATTCTCCAGAAGAAAAGATAAATGAAGCAGAGATAAGAAATTTATCTGAAACAGAGTTCAGAGTAATGATGTTAAAAATGCTCAACAGTATGAAAGAAGATATAGTAACTATGAAAAAAGAACAGTCGGAGATAAATAATGACATAACAAATAAAGAACACGTTGGAAGGAATACACAGCAGATTAAGGGAAGTTGGGGATCGAAATGGTGAATTAAGACACAGTTGGAAATATCACTCAATTAGAGAACCAAAAAGAAAACAAAACAATTAAAAAACAGGAGGAAAGCTTAAGGGAGCTGTGGGACAATGTGAAACGTAGCAATATCAGAATGGCAGGTGTGCCAGAAGAAGCAGAAAGGGAGAAAAGAATAGGGAAGGTGTTTGAAGAAATAATGGTAGAAAACTTCCCTAACCTGGTAAAGGAAACATCACACGAGTTCAGGAGGCACAGAGAACCCAAAACAAGAAGAATCAAAACAGACCCATGACCAGACACATCATAATTAAAATACCAAAAATTAAAGACAAAGATAGAATCTTAAGCAGCAAGAGAAAACTGTTACCTACAAAGGAGTTCCCATAAGGCTGACACCTGATTTCTCATCAGAAACTCTACAGGCCAGAGGGAATGGCATGAAGTATTCAAGGTAGTGGAAAGCAAGGATCTGAGACCAAGATTACTATATCCAGCAAGGCTATCATTCAAAATAGATGGTCAAATAAAGAGCTTCCCAGACAAAAAAAAAGGCTAAAGGAGTTCATCACCACCAAGCCAGCATTATAAGAAATGATAAAGAGATATTCAGCCGTGGGCAAACTACGACCCACGGGCCGGATCCAGCCCATTTGAAATGAATAAAACAAACAACAAAAAAAAGACCATACCCTTTTATGTAATGATGTTTACTTTGAATTTATATTAGTTCACACAAACACTCCATCCATGCTTTTGTTCCGGCCCTCCGGTCCAGTTTAAGAACCCATTGTGGCCCTCGAGTCAAAAAGTTTGCCCACCTCTGGTCTAGAAGCAAGAAGTTAAAATACATAAAGCAGAAATTAGATATGTATGTGTAGAAATAGATTAAAATAATGGTGGTGGAAAAATTTTATATACAGCTATATATTTAAGATAGACCAGACCTACTTTGGGAGGAAAAAACAAGATGGCGGCATAGGTAAACACCGGAGATTGCTGCTTAGCACAACCACTTCAAGAATACAACTAAAAGACGGAACAGACATCATCCAGAACCACAGGAAGACTGGCTGAGTGGAAATTCTACAACTAGAAGGAAAGAGAAAAGCATACAAAAACTCAGAGGAAGCGCAGTGCGGAAGTAAAATACTAAGGTGCAGAAGTGCATGTGGAGTGGGCTGGCAGCTGAGGGCACAGTTGTCATTTTCAATTGGGAGGGAGTCTCAGGCTCTGAGCTCCAGTTCAGGGTGAGTCTCTAGGGACCCAGACTCATACGGGAGAAGCGGGACTGTCTGGCAGCAGTCGGAACTTGAGGACAGCTTTCTCACCGAGGGGCTTACAGTGATTACCGGGACATTGAGAAACAAAGACTCTGAGGACAGGACTGAGAGTAGCCATAACTGCTAGCCCCACCCTGTTGATCCCCTGGGAACCACCCTGCCCAAGCCCTGCAGGGAGGCTTTTGCTGGATAGCCTCAGGCAAAGGCTAGATTAGCACCTCCCTAGATATCCAGGAGCCAGGAAGCCCAGAGGTCAGAGTGGGACATTCCAGTTTGCAGCTCCGTGGAAACATAAAGGACACACTCAGGGGGCAGACTCAGTGAGCACCAAAGCCCCATTGAAGCAAGTCTTGCCCCAGATGGGTGTCTCCAGCACAGAAGTTCTCCCACTGCAGACACAGCTGATTCTCACAGCCAATTGGCCTGGAAGCCAATTCCTCCCAGTGATACCTACAACAATCAAGGCTTAACTACAACAAGACTGTGCACAAAGACCACAAGGGGGTGCACCAAGAGTGTCCTCCTCAGGTAATTGGGGAGGCTGAACCACTGGGCCCTAGAGGACACTTAGCACAGAAAACCACTGTATCAACCCAGGGAAGCATAAAAAATGCAGAGACAAAGAAAAATGACACAAATGACAGAAATGGAGGAAAGCAAACTACTGGATATAGAGTTCAAAACCACACTTTTAAGGTCTTTCAATAATTCTCTAGAAACTGCCGATAAACTTAATGAGATCTACAAGAAATCTAATGAGACCCTCGATGTTGTGATAAAGAACCAACTAGAAATTAAGCATACACTGACTGAAATAAAGAATATTATACAGACTCCCAGCAGCAGACTAGAGGATCACAAGAATGAAGTCAACAATTTGAAATACGAAGAAGCAAAAAACACCCAACTGGAAAAAGAAAAAGAAAAAAGAATCCAAAAATATGAAGATAGTGTAAGGAGCCTCTGGGGCAGCTTCAAGCGCACCAACATCCGACTTATGGGGGTGCCAAAAGAAGAGAGAGAGCAAGATATTGAAAACCTATTTGAAGAAATAATGACAGAAAACTTCCCCTACCTGGTGAAAGAAATAGACTTACAAGTCCAGGAAGCGCAGAGAACCCCAAACAAAAGGAATCCAAAGAGGACCACACCAAGACACATCATAATTAAAATGCCAAGAGCAAAGGACAAAGAGAGACTCTTAAAAGCAGCAGGAGAAAAACATTCAGTTACCTACAAGGGCATACCCATATGACTGTCAGCTGATTTCTCAACAGAAACTTTGCAGGCCAGAAGGGAGTGGAAAGAGATATTCAAAGTGATGAATAGCAAGAACCTACAACCAAGATTACATTACACAGCAAAGCTATCATTCAGAATTGAAGGTCAGATAAAGAGCTTCACAGATAAGAAAAAGCTAAAGGAGTTCATCACCACCAAACCAGTATTATATGAAATGCTGAAAGGTATCCTTTAAGAAGAGGAAGAGGAAGAAAAAGGTAAAGATACAAATTATGAACAACAAATACACATCTATCAACAAGTGAATCTAAAAATCAAGTGAATAATCTGATGAACAGAATAAACTGGTGAATATAATAGAATCAGGGGCATAGAAAGGGAGTGGACTGGCTATTCTTGGGGCGGGGGGGGGGGGGAAGGGGTGTGTGGGTACGGGAAGAGACTGGACAAAAATCTTACACCTATGGATGAGGACAGTGGAGAGGGGGGGTGGAAAGAGGGTGGGGTGGGAACTGGTTGGAGGGGAGCTATGAGGGGAAAAAAGAGGAACAACTGTAATAATCTGAACACTAAAGATTTAATTTTAAAAAAAGAATTTAAATTAAAAAAAAGGTATATGTGTGTGCCTATCTGTATCATATATAAACACAATATACATATACATATACATGTACATAATATTATATGTTGTCTACATCTCTTTATATATTTTTAAGGGGGAAAATTGGGAATGAATGTTATTTGGGCTCTTAATTTATTCTCTGAGCAAAACTATTAAATAAGCTAGAAAACTCCCGAACTTGGGAACACTATCTGATTCTCTCCAGGCTTAGCCACAGGCAACTGTTTCTTCCTTCTACCCCCATTGCTAAGTGACTTTATCAAGTTCTGGGCTCAGAGACTATTTATACAGGTAAGAAAAAGAAAGTCCACCTTCAGGGTGAAGGCTGTGCAGACAATATCTGACCAATATTTAGTGTTGAAATAATTATGGAGTAGAAGGAGCATGAAACTATGTGATGAATCTCAGTCTCTTGGTGTCCTTCAATTTTTATCTCATTTTGATAAAAAGAATAACAATATGTTCTTGCTCAGATAGAGGAGGGCATTCCTAAGTATGACAGGTCTTGCATCAGAGACACCTGGCTAAAAGTCAGAAATCATTACAAAGGGAAAGGTGGAGGACATACGAGGCAAGTATTCATGGATTGATATCTTGGATGGCTCAGAAGACATGCAGCTCAGTGTACAAGTGGAGGGTGTGGTCTCATTTCCACTTCCAGCCAAAATGATGAGACCAAGAAGAGTCAAAAAGACACACTTTATTAGCTATTCTCTATGTTCAAATCCTCTGTCTCTCTGTCTCCCTTCCCCACTACCACTCATCTCCTGCAGGGCACCACATCCTCATGGAATCCTCTATGTGGTTCTCATGGTGGGAGAAGAATAGGGTTGCTCATGGAGGCTTTTCCAGGACACTCAGCAGAGCGTTGTTCTTCTTTGGGGAAAGGTAGGACAAACAGCTTCTTAATCATAGGCCCATGGAAGAGGAAGGAAACATTGAGCGGTTCTCCCTGGGGATTTGTGGTTAGATCCAGGTGCACAGGGAAGGCCTCAGCAGGATCCGTTTCCTGAGATTCTTCATCATCCAGCTCAGGAAGGTACTGGACAGATCCGCTTAGCACATCTTTGGAGGTTGAGTGTGTAGGTTTTTTGTTTCTCTGGTAAACAGAGAATTTTCTCCTTCTAGGGGTGAGAGCCTGAAATAAAAATGCTTTCAATAAGGGAATGTTCTCTAGGGAAATCTCTTCTGTGGCTGGTACCAGGCTAAGCTGTTCTATGCCTTTCTGATGGAATGTTTCAAGGGGAGCCAGCTAGAGGGATGGGCCCCTGGTTAAAGGGTTATAAAGCAAAACAGATAAGGGCCAGCAGGAACCAGGACTGGTAGAGGCTTGATAGAAAGCTTGATCCAGAGCACTTAAATGGCATATTCAAAGTCCTTAGTGGGCTGTCTCCCTGCTCCTAGTGTGACAGCAATAGCACCATTACTAATTATTTATGCTCTGCCAGGCCCAATACAGCACCCTTTATCCAGGTCTTCTCACTAATTTCTCACAAGAAACTGAATGAGGTAAGCATTGCAAGCCCATTCATAGATGAGGCAACCATGACTCAGAGAGGTAAGAATTTTCCCATGGTCACCTAGCTCACAGGTAGCAGAGCAGGACTGGAATCCAGGTGGCCTCTCTCAACCACCCTTTCAACTATATCAGGCTGTCTCATATTAAGTGCTCAATAAATACTTCTGGAATGGGACCAACTATTTCCATGGAAACAACTTCTCCCGTCAGTTCAGGGTAAGGGTCTTTGGAACACTGCATTTAAGCTCTCAGGGCCTGAGCCATCCAAGCTCAGAGGTCCCTATTTATGAAAGTCTTAATTATTCTGCCGGAACTCATTGGGACTAAAACAAAGAGGGACAGGTCTTAAACTAGCTAGCTGCTAGCCTATGGGTGTGACCTCAGGGCAGCCTAAATAAAATGGTGATCAGGAATCTTAGGAAAATAAAATGAGAGGATGAGGTAGGGAGAGTTAAAACATAGATATTCGGCTTTTTTTCTTCACAGAAAGACAAACAATTAGAATGAAAAAATACCTGTGATTGAAAGAAGTCACAATTTATATTGACAAGCTTTACTTCAAATCTTCGATGCAGAGTACCTCTGCAAATACCAACAGGCTAAAAAGAGAGAGAGAGAGAGAGAGAGAGAGAGAGAGAGAGAGAGAGAGAAGATACAAAATTGTTTGAGTTTTACAATTATCAATGATCATAAATGGAAATCAACTTGCTTTCTGCCAGTGTGCACAAACAGCCAAACAACATTTATGTGCTACTACCATGCAATAGGTAGGTTCTGAGCCAATTATCTCTAGACTAGTCACATGGTGCATGGATTCGTGCACACTGAAAGAAAATTAATTACAAGTTGGCTGGCAGGGTGGAACTGAACAAAATGGGCCAAAAACGCCCTGGAGCCAACTTCCTGTGGTTCTTCCCTGGCCAGCTGCAGCTGGGGTGGCACCATGGCTTGAAAGTCTGAGGAATGAGTGGGGTCCCTCCACCAGGTGGAGTCCCTTGGCCTGGCCTGCAGGGATTGGGCCAAAACTGGCTCTCTAACTTCCCCTGAGGGGTTCTAGAGTGCAAGAGAGCACTCTACAAAGTTGCTGTTGTACAGGGTGTGGAACGCAAAAGCAAGTGTGCAGTAAACCAGATTTGGGGCTGACAGTTCCCCAGTACCAACATAACCCACAGCCAAAGGTGGAATCACGCAGCCCCACAAGGAATTGGGTTCCCTCCTCTTTGGTTTCAGAGTGCATCACCCAAGAACCGCTGCTGCCAAGTCACTGCAGCTTGGCAGCTCCTGCATACAGTGTCTGCCCCCTGGTGGTCAGTGAGCATCATAACGGCCAGTTGGACAGAGGGAGGAACACTTAGCATATTAGCCTTTTATATATATAGATTATCTCTCCAGATAACCATCTAAACAAGTCTAAATTGCCTCCAATGATGGAAAATTTAAAATTTCTTGAGGAGGAGGAGGAGAAAGAAGGCTGCCATCATGAAGGAGGACTGAAAGATAGTATGTGAGTGAAAGAATGAAAGGAGAGTGTGTGGACGTACGTGGAGAGTATATTTGTGGGTGAGGAACAGCTTTATTCCAAGGGACTGTTGGGGACCGCTGGACCAGGCTCCCCTGAACGACAGCCTCCACTGCTGCTGAAATCTCTCCCAGAGCAACCAGCTGTGCCATGGAGACCACACCATCTTGAAGGGGAGAGTGGCTATTATGAGAAGCCTATACATCCCAGGACTCTACAACCACAACACCCAGGGACCAGCTGCGAACTCAGGAACGCCGGATCTCAAGCAGCACGAATACAGGGACTCGGGTGAGCTCTGCACCTTCTTATGGAAAGGTCAGAATTCGCCTAGGGAAAGGTGAGGTCTGTGATCCAGGTTGGAGAGAGAAATGTGCACAAAGGGATCTAGAGGTTCGGGAGAAGTCTGCTCCCCACAAAATCCGCGGCGTTGGAGCTAGCATGATCCGCGAATGTGGAAGGGGATCTGCAGGGCTGCTGGCAGAAGGGAACTCTAAGAATCAACCCATAGCTGAACTGGGCACAAAAAGTCAGCCTGAAATTTTACCAGTGTTCCAGCTGCTTAGTACCAGGGGAAAAAAGACATGCACAGAGATGTTCACAGAGTTGCGCACAGTGCCAGAGGGTAAAAGTTGAAAGTTCACACACTTACTCTGGCCCTTTTTTTCTCTTTAAATCCTTGCTTTTGATTACTAAGCCAAATACATAGGATCACTGGATTAGGGACACTCTAAGACAGCGGTTCTCAACCTGTGGGTTGCGACCCCTTTGGCTGTCGAATAACCTTTCACAGGAGTCGCCTAAGACCATCCTGCATATCAGATATTTACATTACAATTCATAACAGTAGCAATATTATAGTTATGAAGTAGCAACAAAAATAATTTTATGGTTGGGTCACAACATGAGGAAGTGTATTTAAAGGGCCAGAAGTTTGAGAACCAGTGCTCTCAGAGATTGCAGGGGAAAGTTGTTTTTGTGGAACCTGGGGGTCAGAGAGGGGAGTAACGATCAGAGAACCAAATCTGGGGCAGTCCAATCTTCCAAACCAGTATTAAGTGCCACAGGGAAAACAAAATCTAAATACTGGCTAGAGAGGACTTATAGCCCCAGAGGTCAATCCAGAAACACTGCCAGCCAGGGGTTGAATCACAAATTGACTCTTATGTAAACACAAATAAAGGAGCATAAGAAACAAAGAAATACTGCCTGCTTGAAAATCAGGACTGTGTCTTACAACACAGAGGAGCAGCGGAATGCAGTGAACTTCAATACTGTCCTGACTACCAGACAGGAAACTGGTGCACCAAACAGGACAGTAGTGGAAGTGAATGACCTTCACTACTGCACATTTTTATTTTTTCATCTTTCACTTAGGAAACGAATTTTTTTTCTTTTTCCCTCACTTGATTTTACCTTTATAATTACTATAATTTTATTTTTAATCACTATTATTACTACTACTATTTTATCTTTTTTAAAAAGTGCCATTTTATTTTCTCTTTATTTTATTTTATATTGGCATTAGTGCTATGGATTCTATTTTCATTTTTCCTTTAGCATAATTTTGCTCTATCTCAACTTTACCTTTATCCAACACTCTGTACCTCACTTTCCCCTTTTGTTGTCCTGTTTCTCTTACCCTATTCTTGCTTTAGATTATCGCTATTCCTTCTTTTTACCCCGTTAAAAATTCACCCTACTATATATCTAATTTCTGATCCCCTGCTCTAAGTCCATACATACTTCTCTGTTTTCTTTCTTCACTAGCCAAATTTTTTTCTCTCTTCCCTTTTTTTCGTGGTTGTTATTGTTTTTTTGGTTTTGTTTTGTTCTAGGTTTTTTGTTTTATTTTGTTTTGTTTTGCCTTGCTTTCTCTCTGTCCTATTGTTGTTGTTGGCTTGATTGTTGATTAGATTGGGGGTTTTTGTGCTTGTTTGTGGATATTGTTTCTTTTTTAAGTTTTTTGTTTTTGTTTGTTTTTTGCTCCTGTTTTTCCTCTCCTTTCTTGTTATTAGCTTTTGTTTGTAGTTTGCATTCATCTCTGGGTGTTTGTTGTTTGCATTTTTTGGGATTAGTGGTTGTTCCATTGGTGTTTTCTCCCCACATAAATAGTTTTTTTCCCTCCTTCTTTATTATTCTCTTTTTTTGTCTCTCTTACTTTATTTCCTTTTCTCAATATCATTTTGAACTCCTTTTTTTTCTTCTCCCCTAATTCTCTTTACTCTGGTGTTCACCTTTATTTGGGGTTATTACTATGAAAACATTTGTGTTCAGTGCCTTGTGCATTGTGTATGTTGTGTTGTATTTTGTGCCTTTCAATCAATACTGGAGAAAGAGATCTACATAACCAGATACCCAGAGAAGAGAGATCATGGGTAGACAAAGAAAGAGTTTAACTTCTTTACTTCTTTACTTCTTAACTTCTTTACTTCTTTACTTCTTTAAAAGTAAAGAAGACATCAGCAGAAAAAGAGGTAAACGAAATGGAGGCAAGAAATATGTCAGAGAAAGAATTTAGAGAAATGGTCATAAGGTGGATGAAAAGAATGGAAGACAAATTCAACAATATGTGTAAGAACCAAGAGGAAATGAAGAAGAACCAAGAAGAAATGAAAAATGACATTTCTGCTATAAAGAACTTAATAAAAAGCATCAACTGTAGACTAGAAGAAGCAGAGGATCACATCAGTGAGCTAGAAGACAAGGTAAGAAAAAATACCCAAACAGAGCAGCATCTAGGAAAAAAAAATAACTTAAAAAACAAGAGGAGAGCCCAAGGGACAACATGAAAAAAATAACCTTCGCATAATAGGGGTGCCAGAAGGATAGGAAACTGAGCAGGAGTAGAAAACCTGTTTGAAGAAATAATGACAGAAAACATCCCTAATATAGGGAAGAAAAAACTCACACAAATCCAAGAAGTCCCAAACAAAATGAACCCCAAAAGACTGACACCAAGGCACATTATAATTAAATTGGCAAACACCAATGACAAAATAAGAATCTTAAAAGCGGCCAGAGAGAGACAGAAAGTTACCTACAAAGGATCCCCCATCAGACTAGTGACTGATTTCTCAACAGAAACACATCAAGCCAGAAGAGAATGGAATGAAATATACAAAGTCATGCAAAGGAAGGGTCTGAATCCAAGAATACCATCCCAGCAAGGTTACCAATCAAAATTGAAGGGGAAATCAGGATCTTCCCAGACAAAAAAGGAATAAGGGAGTATATTACCACCAAACCAGCAATGCAAGAAATGCTAAAGGGTCTGCTGTAAAAAGAAGAAATAGGAAGCGAAGAAGGAACACAGGCATAAAGAATAAAAATGGTGAAAAACAAGTACCTATCAATAATAACTTTAAATGTAAATGGATTAAATGCCCCAATCAGAAGACATAGGGTAACTGAGTGGATAAGAAAACATGACCCCTATATCTGCTATCTACAGGAAACCCACCTCAGAAAAAAGGACTCACACAGACTGATGATGAAGGAATGAAAAAAGATTATTCAGGAGAATTAAAATGAAGAAAAAGCTTGGGTTGCAATACTTATATCTGACAAATTAGATCTCAAAGTGAAGGACATAACAAGAGATTAGGAAGGCCACTTCATAACACTAATGGGAACAATCCAACATGAAGAAATAACTCTGGTAAACATATACGCACCCAATACAGGAGCACCCAAATGCATAAAAAAAAACTTCTGGAGGATATCAAGGGAGAGATTGACAGCAATAGAGTCATAGTAGGGGACTTTAATACCCCACTATCACCATTGGACAAATCCTCTAAACCAGTGGTTCTCAACCTTCCTAATGCTGCGACCCTTTAATACAGTTCCTCATGTTGTGGTGACCCCCAATTTCATTGTTACAAATTGAATATAATTAAAGCATAGTGATTAATCACAAAAACAATATGTAATTATATATGTGTTTTCTGATAGTTTTAGGCGACCCTTGTGAAAGGGTCGTTCGACCCCCACAGGGATCACGACCCACATGTTGAGAACCACTGACCTAGATGAAATGGACATATTCTTAGAAAAATAGAAGCTCCCAAAACTCAA